ACACAGTCAGCCAAATCACACGTTCGTTAGGCAGTGAACAATTTGTGACACAGTCAGTCAAATCACACGTTCGTTAGGCAGTGAACATTACTTTATTATTTGTTATTCACATATACCGAAAAACAATGTTTTAGCTATTACCTTTACAAATATTATTTCACAATATTTTACGTTGTTTTTGAAGTTAAGCTGATCATCACATAATATAAAACAAAGATGATTAGATTTGACATTATATAGATTGAATTTTGGAGGTATATTCTCAACATTGTCGAATAAGAAGAATGAAAAAGTTACCATTAAAAACACCCTGTATAAATAGTCATTATCCCACAATGCCCTTGGATGATATAAGCTGTATAGACCGAAGCCTCGTTTCTTAACTAGTACGTTCAAGCTGTATACATTTAAGCCTCATCTCTTAACTTGTACGTTCAAGCTGTATACATTTAAGCCTCGTCTCTTAACTTGTACGTTCAAGTTGTATACATTTAAGCCTCGTCTCTTAAATTGTACGTTCAAGCTGTATACATTTAAGCCTCGTCTCTTAACTTGTTCGGTTAAGCTGTTTGTAAGTGGTATAGAAGTGGTGGCCATTTTACTTAGAGTTAGAGATCGAGATGTCACGTCACCAACCTCGAAGTAACTCGGGTCACTAACCGAATCTACCGAGGTTACCTGAACACAAGGTTTGCTTCAGTTATATATTTTTATGGATTATATTCATAAAAAGTTGCAAGTGACGAAATAAGTTTAATATTTTATTGTACGAAAACACGTGCAAATGTTTAAGAAAATGCAAAATAGTCAATAAGACATTTGCCCATCTAGATTCGGCATTGCTCCTGAAATTTTATCAACAAAGCAAGTGAACTGGAGCGACTTTGACTATGCTCTATAGGGAGGCGTGGTTTACAATCGATCAATAAGCGCACTAAACTGAAAACTAATAATGAACTTAATAGTGTTTGTTTTGAATTTTCGCGCAAAACTACACGAGGGCTATCTGCGCTAGCCGTCCCTAATTTAGCAGTATAAGACTAGATGGAAGGCAGCTAGTCATCACCACCCACCGCCAACTCTTGGGCTACTCTTTTACCAACGAATAGTGGGATTGACCGCACATTATAACGCTCCCACGGCTGAAAGGGC